TACGGTAAGTAAACCGACTCCGAAACAATTTTTAAGGCAAAATTTCTCTATTTTGGAATATTTAGAAAAATAGAAAAATAAGTAGCAGTCTGGGAAGGACACGAGGGCCCCACGAGGGTGGTGGGCGCGCCCCCTACCTCGTGAGCACCTCGTGTGCCTTCCGGACTCCGTTTTCTTACACGTTACGTATTTTGGTCGGTAAAAATTCATTATATATTCTCCCTAAGGTTTTGACTCCCGTATCACGCAATTGTTCTCTGTTCTTGTTTCGAGCTATTTTCTGTCAGGGTTTTCCAGGCTAGGCATCATGTCGTCTCCCTCCTCCAACAATGGTGACAATGATGCTTGGCTAATGAAGATAGATCTGAAGAGGGAAGAACCCACGAGGGTCAACAAGGATAAAAGGATCAAGAAGGCCACGGAGGATCAAGCTCGAGCAGCAAAAGACATACTTCAACTTGATCATAACCTTCTTACCCCAACTGAGATCGAAGCCTTCAAGATGATTGAGTTAGCTCATATACAAAACAAGTATCTCACACAAGAAAATATTTTGTTGAAGGAGCATATTGTTGCACTCAAGGTCATTATTCGCAAGCTAGAGGACCTCTTACGCTCGATGTGCGACTATCCGCCACCTCCACCTTCTTCACCGACAAAGGAGATATTAATCACATGGGTATGGGCACTCCTCTTGGCAACTGCCAAGCTTGAGGGAGGTGCCTGCCCCGGTATCGTATCACAATCACAACTCCTATATTTACCATTTTTCTTAGTTCGATCCTATTAGTAATATCTTGATCTAGTAGAATAAAGTTTATGGCATGATCTAGTTTTGAGTTTTCTTTATGATCTCTCTTTGTAATCGAGTCCATGAGCTATATATAATAAAGATTAGTGTTGAGTCAAGGGCTTGATTATTTTGCCATGATCTTGGGTGAATAAAAGAAAGAAGAAAAGAATAAAAAGTAACAAAAAGTTCATATTGATCTCATTGAAAGTAATGACTTCACATAGAAAGAGTATGATGATTAAAAGTTGTTGGGAGTTGGCAGACATAGCTTTGGTCATTGTTGCAATTAATAGGAAGTAATAAGGAAAGAGAGGTTTCACATATAGATATATTATCATTGACATCTTTTATGATTGGGAGCACTCATTAAAATATGACATGCTAAAGAGTTGATGTTGGACAAGGAAGACAATGTAATGAGTTATGTCTTTCTTATATCCGAGATAAAGTATGTTGTCATGGATCCTCTAACTTGTTGAGCTTGCCTTTCCCCCTCATGCTAGCCAAATTCTCAGCACCAAGTAGAAATACTACTTGTGCTTCCAAATACCCTTAAACCAATTTTGCCATGAGAGTCCACCATATCTACCTATGGATTGAGTAAGATCCTTCAAGTAAGTTGTCATCGGTGCAAAGCAATAAAAATTGCTCTAAATATGTATGATTGATTGGTGTGGGAGAAATAAGCTTTATACGATCTTGTGATGTGGAAGTAATAAAAGCGACAGACTGCATAATAAAGGTTCATATCACAAGGGGCAATATAAAGTGACGTTCTTTCGCATTGAGATTTTATGCATCCAACCATAAAAGCGCATGGCAACCTCTGCTTCCCTCTGCGAATGGCCTATCCTTTATTATTATCTTCTACCTTATGCAAGGTCATGGTGATCTTCACCTTTTCTTTTTCATTTTATCTTTTGGCAAGCTCAACATGTTGGAAAGAACATGATATATATATCTAATTGGATGTAGGGGAGCATGAACCATTATTGTTGACATTACTCTTGAGGTAAAAGGTTGTGGGGCAAAACTATAAGCCCCTATCTTTCTCTGTGTCCGATTAAAACTCCGTAACCACAAGTATCGCATGAGTGTTAGCAATTATGAAGGATTATTTGATAGTTGAGTATGTGGACTTGCTTTTTAGCTCTGACATGGACTCTTTCCGATGTTATGATAAATTGCGATTGCTTCAATGACTGAGATTATAGTTTGTCGGAGCCCAATAAGGTTTATGATTTATACTTTTGCATTGTGAATAGATCATCACTTGAACATAAGTAATGATATGACAAAATCTATATTTGTTGCTGTCATGAGAATAATCATGATGCCTTCATTTCCGTATTTTTATTTTTATCGACGCCTCTACCTCTAAACATGAGGACATATTTATTGTTATCGGCTTTTCGCTTGAGGACAAGCGAGGTCTAAGCTTGGGGGAGTTGATACGTCCATTTTGCATCATGCTTTTATATCAATATTTATTGCATTATGCACTGTTATTTCACTTTATGTCATAATACTTATGGCTATTCTCTCTTATTTTACAAGGTTTACATAAGGAGGGAGAATGCCGGCAACTGGAATTCTGGGCTGGAAAAGGAGCAAATATTAGAGACCTATTCTGCACAACTTCAAAAGTCCTGAAACTCCACGGAACATCTTAAAGTAAATAAATAAAAATCATCGCCAAAGATGAAGGCCAGGGGGCCCACACCCTGCTCACGAGGGTGGGGGGCGCCCCCCCTAGGGCGCGCCCCCTACCTCGTGGGCCCCTGGTGGCTCTCCGACGTCCATCTTCTCCTATATGAAGTCTTTCGATGAGAAAAAAATAAGAAGGAACTTTTCGGGACGAGACTTCGCCGCCACAAGGCGGAACCTTGGCGGATCCAATTAGAGCTCCGGCAGAGCTGTTCTGTCGGGGATACTTCCCTCCGGGAGGGGGAAATCATCACCATCGTCATCACCAACGCTCCTCTCATCGGGAGAGGGCAATCTCCATCAACATCTTCATCATCACCATCTCATCTCCAAACCCTAGTTCATCTCTTGTATCCAATTCTTGTCTCAAAGTCCGGGATTAGTGCTAGTAGGTTGCTAGTAGTGTTGATTACTCCTTATAATTGATGCTAGTTGGTTTATTTGGTGGAAGATCATATGTTCAGATCCTATATGCATATTATTACCCCTCTGATTATGAACATGAATATGCTTTGTGAGTAATTACGTTTGTTCCTGAGGACAAGGGAGAAGTCTTGCTATTAGTAGTCATGTGAATTTGGTATTCGTTTGATATTTTGATAAGATGTATGTTGTCTAGCCTCTAGTGGTGTTATGTGAACGTCGACTACATAACACTTCACCATTATTTGGGCCTAGAGGAAGGCATTGGGAAGTAATAAGTAGATGATGGGTTGCTAGAGTGACAGAAGCTTAAACCATAGTTTATGCGTTGCTTCGTAAGGGGCTGATTTGGATCCACATGTTTCATGCTATGGTTAGGTTTACCTTAATACTTTTGTTGTAGTTGCGGATGCTTGCAATAGAGGTTAATCATAAGTGGGATGATTGTTCAAGTAAGAACAACACCCAAGCACCGGTCCACCCACATATCAAAGTATCGAACACGAATCATATGAACGTGATGAAAACTAGCTTGACGATATTCCCGTGTGTCCTCGGGAGCGCTTTTCCTATTATAAGAGTTTGTTCCGGCTTGTCCTTTGCTAGAAAAGGATTGGGCCACCTTGCTGCACTTTATTTACTTTTGTTACTTGTTGCTAGTTACAATCTATCTTATCACAAAATTATCTGTTACCACTTATTTCAGTACTTGCAGAGAATACCTTACTGAAAACCGCTTATCATTTCCTTCTACTCCTCGTTGGGTTCGACACTCTTACTTATCAAAAGGACTACGATAGATCCCCTATACTTGTGGGTCATCACATGGCAGCTCTCAACCACCTGCTTGACAATAAGGCCCAGGGTGTTGGGTTTGTTGCCATGGCAGACGCTCACAGGGTGTTGTGGCTGAGGAGCTGGCTGGTCAAGCACTACTACTAGAGTAGTGCTGCCTGTGAGCGTGCATGATCCCCGACAGCGATGGCGGTGGCGACGACAACGACGATGATGACGACGACATACATTTTGTGTAGGTAGGGCTGAAAAACTATTTGATGATATGTATATTTTGGTGAGGTGGTGCATACTAACCCCTCACGATGATGATGAACTTGCGGTGGTAGGACGACACCCTCTTTTGGATGTGGTGGTAGGATAACACCATGGTAGTGCTAGGTAGAACTTACTATGTCGTATGATCATGCATGCTTTACTTCTTCTCTTGTGCTCCATTGTTGTTTGTGTGCTACTTTGCTTGCTACGTGTGTGCTCCATTGATTTGCTACTTCAACTCTTGCTCTTGTGCATTGCTAGGGCAAGTGGTGTGCCGTGTTCATCGGTAAGGCTTCAAGGGTTTACAGTTCATGGGAAGAAGCCAGTGCACAAGTGCATTATATAGCAACAGCAGCCATAGAGGGTTCAAGACTAGGCAGGCAGCAGAACAAGCTTACTCCGACTGGATGTGAAAGCACGGAGGCAGCAGTGTTGACAGTGGTAAAGTTGGAGATGTCAAAGTGGAAGGTGCTAAGGTGGATCGCCAGTTTGGGCTGAAGCTGAAGAATTTCATCACCTTTGCCCAGTTCATCGACATTACTGTGTTGTGGCGTTGGTGTGCCAGGTGTGATTATTGTGGGTAAGCTCATCAACTAGAATACAATGTAGCATACCAAGTACGCCGTATGCATTCAAACATCTTGTTCATGTGTTGCTTGGGCCAATACAGACAACCAAACAAAGTGCACTTGCGTATTACCTAATGCAGTGAGCCTAGATGCAGGCAACCAAACAACTTATAGATGGCGCATTAGGTCTTATTTTTGCTCAACCATACTAGGTTGAGAAGTGTATGCAATGCAGAAACTGTTCACAACTTGAACCGAACACGCCCCAAATCTCACAGGGATCAGCACATTTGTTGTACAGACGATTTGCTGAATCAAACTTGTAAATACTTTTCATATCAATTCATTTTAGATTCGTAAAAGAACAAAATTTCGTAAGATAAACAATCCATGAATGATTAATCTTTATCTAAGTCTACATTAACTAATTAACACAAGTTTTTCTTCACACTTTGTCATATGGTGAACAAGGTCTTGGCCTCCTTGTGCATGGACCTGACGATGGCGGTGACCTGCTCCACCTGCCGCTCGTCAGAGCAGGCCGCGACGAGCACCTTGGCGGTCCCGGCGTCCGGGTAGCACCCGGCGTCCACCATCTCCTCGAAGATCTCGAGGCACCGCCGGTACTCCTTCTTCCTGGCGTAGGCGCCCATGCGGGACGTCCAGGTCACCACGTCGGCGGCGAGGCCCCGCCGCTCCAGCGACGCGAACGCCGCCTCCATCCGCTCCAGGTACCCGGCGCGGCCGTAGGCGTTCACCGCCACGTTGTACGTGCCCACGTCGCTCGTCCCCCGGCGTTCCATGGCGGCGAGCAGCCGCTCCATGTCGCCGAGGCGGCCGGCGCGGCCGTAGGCGTTGAGCATGGCGTTGAGCGCGAAGGTGTCCGGGGCGAGCCCCGACTTGTGCAGCTGCGCCATCACCTCCTCGCACCGCGCCACGTTGCCGGACCGGGCGTGCGCCGCCAGCAGCAGCATGTGCGACTTCATCGTCGGCGCCATCCCCTGCCGCTTCAGCGACTCGAACACCGCCTCCGCCTCTGCGTCCATCAAAAACCCCATGGCGGTCAGGCTCGGCACCTCGTCGGAGCAGCCGGCGTTCGAGGAGTTGATGATTGACGTACGTACCTCGGTGGAGGCCGGCTCTCCCGTAGGCGTCCACCAGGATGTTGTAGGAAGCTCTGTCGGGCTCGCACCCCATGTGCTGCATCAGGGAGAAGATCTCCGAGGCGGCCTGCGGGAACCCTGCGCGGCTGTAGGCCTCCATGAGGGCGTTGTAGGCGTAGACGTCGGGCTCGTGCCCGGCCTGCTGCATCTCCTCGAACACCTCCTCGGCCTTCTCGCACAGCCCTTCCCTGGCGAACGCGTTCACCAGCGCCGTGTAGGTGCAGATGTTGGCCTTGCACCCCAGCGACTGCATCTCCTTGAACACCTTCATCGCCGACATCGGCTGCTTCGACTGCAATTGACACAAGAACAAGTTCTCAAGAATGGTGATCATCGAAAACAACACACTTTTTTCAGTCAGGTGATGAAGACATTTCCATAGCGAAAAAGTTGCCTGACGTGCCTTCCCGTAGACATTGATCATGAGGGTGTACGTCTCCGTGTTGGTCCGGCACCGCTCCCGCTTCATCCTCTCGTACACCTCCACCGCCTTCTCGGAGCACCTCGCCTTGAGCAGCCCATCGAGGTACGCGTTGTACACGGTCGCGCCTGGAGAGAACACCACCATGAATCTGTCTGTCGGTGTGAGTGCCTGCATTGTCCTGACCTGAATGAGACTTTCTTACTCGGAGGGATGCCGTGCTCCCGCATCTCGGAGATGACGCCCTCGGCCCGGTGCAGCGACCCGGCGTTGCAGTAGGCGCGCAGGAGGAGGGCGTAGGTGTCCTCCGTCGGCACGCACCGGGCCTCCAGCAGCGCCGCGTACATGGCCTCCGCCTTGCCCAGCCGCCGCCGCCGGCCGTACGCGTCGATGAGCAGGTTGTAGCAGACCACGTCCGGGCGGAAGGAGCTCCGGTGCACGATCCACTCGCAGACCTAATGAGACACTCTCTGAGGAATCACACCGTCGAAATGTCGTCCATCAGAGCTTCAACTGAAGAAACCGAGCGCGGCGTGCGGGGTTTTGGGGGAACCTACTGAGATGACGGGATCCCACTGCCGGCTCAGGCGGAGCTGGACGGCGACGTTGAGGACGTCGTCCCACAGGGCGTGCGTGGGAGGGACGCTGTCCAGCGCCTCCCAGACCTTGGCGGCGTCTGTACCCTTCTGCACGAGCTCCAGGATGTCCTGCGCCATGGGGCTGAGCACCGGGAAGACGCCGTCCACGAACCCGGAGCCGTACTTCCAGCCGCGGCCTCTCATTGCGCCCCCTGCATGCATGAGACTTGAAGCTGTAAAACCATTTCAACGGCAGGAAACGATGGCACTCGCCAAGCAGATGCCCCTCCTTTGCTGAACTTTAGTGCAGGTGTAAACCAAGCAAAACGAGGGGAACCGGTGAAGGTAGGATTTTTACCTCTTTTCCGCGATATTTTCTTCCGGTCGAAGGTCCGCGCTTCACCATCTTTGTCAATGTAGGCGCCCGGGTGTTTCCGGTTCCCCTTCCTTTCGCCGTATCTAGAGGAATTCACCTCGGCGTCGTGCAGGGAAGAAGTTCCTTGCTGAATGTTCCCGCAGGCGCAGATGCGCCATCTTGGTCCGGCGGTCATCGGATGATAATGCAACGGAGCCTGTATCCTTAACCTGAAATTCATACGGTGGAGGAAGGGAAGAGATGTCAGTTCCAACTGCAAACCAAGTTCACATGCGAAAAGCAGAGTGAACTAGTGTGTTGTTTGAGAAGTTTTGCAGTCAAAACATTCAGAGAAGAAACAGTTAAAGAATTGCCACTGAATTGTCATGCAGAACACAGGCCAAATGCAACTGCAATTGCCTGAATCGGGCAAAACTGGGTGAGCATGGGAATAAAAAGGTCAGAAGAATTTAGGAAGGTAGAAAGTGTGACTTACATGATGAGCACAGGGTGAAGGTCTTCAGAGGCAAACTTGCAGTTCTCCCAAGGGACAGATATCGTCGAGCTTGTGGTCGCTTCTGTTTCTGATAGTTGTGGAGGAACGAGGAGCATGGGCTGCACTCGCAAGAGGAAAAATGCTGGAACACAAGATATTTCCCTTTGGGTTGTTCTATCTAGTTCTAGTGTGCCATTTGAGCCTCACATGATCTATCATCCATCCGTGCTGTCTTATCCAGAAGGCAAATAAAACCCGGCTGTTGCGCTGGGATGCACCGGGCAGCGGCAGTGCTCTGTTGCTGGGCTAACCAAATATCTGTAGAAACTTTTCTGCTGCGTTTCTGAATTCTGATACACATGTCAATATGCCCAATGCAAAACTAAGAGGTTTATTGGAGGTAAATCCACGGTTATCTCGCGCATTTGCAGCTCATGTGTACCCACCAGCTTAGTTTCATACAACTATAGGATAGGAGGAAGAAACCAGTCGTGCTGAAATAAAAAAAGAAAGGACGATGACATCACATTTCTCCCCCAGGATTGGGCTTACATGGAGAAACGGCAAAAGCACCAAGTTCCACGACACACCATTGTATGTCTTGTTGGAAGCCTTGCTATTATCCATGATTAACAAAATTGGAAGTTATATCTTTCCCAAGTACAACCGGCAGAGACCATGCATACGATACAACACTCTTTTCTTTCTGATACATTCTATCATCAAAGCAAAAAGGAATCCAGTGAGGATCTCATTCGAGCTCTACCCCTTCAGTAAAGTTTGGCTTTAATTTTCGATCCGTTTGGTCGGAGGGCCTTGAAATGTATTGTCAGTGTAAGTGCATGGTCGCTTGACAGAGAACCAAGTAGCTGAAGGGCTGCGTGATTCAAAAGTCAGTAGGGTAATTGTCAGGCTTGAACCACCTGGAGAAATCAATTCCTTTCTTCTTAAGGTCTTCAGTAGCAGGCCGGATCCGCTCCAAAAGCTGCAATTGAGTAATATGATTCATCATCCCCCCAATACAATTTCTCCAAGAAACAACACAGCGGAATTATCATTGCTCTAGGTAATCCATACAGCATACGCCAACAACACAAACACCCTAAGCTTGGAGATCCCCTAGTATGATGCATCGTCTAATGTGGACTCTTTTAAGTTTTTCAGATTGACCCTTTGCCTTTGGGGATATAACCATCAATGCTTGAAATATTATTAGTATGGTATATTGGTATTGTAATACCATTAGAGGAGGTGATTTTCAGCAAATAAGAGAAGAAGCTATTTTTTAAAAACTGACCTGATCATGAACAGTGCCATTGGAAACAAGAACAGAACGATCAAAGACTGTAAACTCTCCACCATCCATGCGTGTCACTACCCCGCCAGCTTCTTCAACTATCTGTTGAAAAATGACTAAATTCATCAAATAATTATACTGGCAAACTCCACAGAGTAAAGATTAAAGAGTTGCATAGAGAAGGAAAAAGAAGCCATCCAGGATCAATGAGTAGAAATTTATCTAACTGAAATTAAGACTGCTAGATAAATACATTTCAGAATATACACATCACTCTGATACCTTTTACTATGAGAATTCAAGATTTGATTACATAAAATTTGCTTCCAAAGATTAGTTCAGAACTGCTCAATGATACCCTTAAGATAAGATTAACTCTATTAAAATTTCAACCCAAATAATGAGAATACAGACGTAAACATGAGAAAAGATTATCTGAATGAAAAGATGGTAAGGTTTGAAAATAAGCAAATAAGCCAGTCCCACTTTCTACCAGACTGATGATTATTTAGCAACTCTGATTCCATGGGGTAAAAAGGATTACCAGAACACCAGCAGCCATGTCCCACGGCTTAAGCCGATATTCCCAGTAGGCTTCGGTAATGCCTAGACCAACATGGGACATATCAGCAGCAGCAGAGCCTAGCCTTCGTACTCCCTGAAAGCAAGTACGTTTTAAAAAAGAAGGATTAAAGAAACATCATAAAGAAGAAAAGTGGGCGGTGTTTGGTTTCCTTGTTACTGAACCCATGGTAATACCATTTTAATCAGGGGAGGATTCACTTACCCTGCTAACATCAGTAAATTCCTTGAACAAATTTATATTGGTCAGCCATGCATCATCATGTTCATATCCAAACCCAGTAACCAGAAGAGATTGTTCCACCTAGAGAATCAATTAAAGATAATATATTATAAATCCGTATCTGCTGCACGAACTATTTATATTACATGAATTATAATTGCATCCTGAAATACTTTAATGAACAGATACATTGAGTATGATCACTGGAAGGTTTTCATGGCAGGTACACACAGGTGTGCACGTATCCTTACTTGTACAGTTGAATAAGAGAAATAGGTTACCTTTTCTGTTGGACTGACATGAATCTTTTGCCCATTACAATAAGCACCTTTTCCTGTTCAAGGAGCAAACAGAGCCTTAAAAACTAATGTCATGGTATATTCCAGAACCAGAATAAGAAGCATGCCAATTATTGATCAAAGATCCTACCAGAAGATGCAGAAATTGTACGAGTGTTCCAGCACATAGGCCCACCACAAAATTCCACCTAAATGAGATGGCAATAATATGTGAGTACAGAGAGAAACTATTTCTAAGACCTATAATTTGTGTCTCCAATATTCCATAATCATACGGTTCAAGAATGATACATGCATACACATACCACAGTGGCAGCAGCAGGCTTGCCTCGGAATAGAACGCCAATGGATACAGAAAAGCTGGGGTAACCATGTGCAAAGTTTGTTGTTCCATCTAAACAAGAGGAACTCATTATATTGGATCGTTTATGAAGAAGATCATGAAAATGAATTAAATTGAAACATAAAGATTGTATTACATATTCTCTAGTCAAAATGGCTCAAAGAATGCCTCAGTGAAATTAGGTGCCAGTCATAAATCATTCTATTGCTTAGCAATCTACGTAGAATTGTCACCTTCCAAATCAGTGAAACAGACTAACCCATAGTGAGTGCACAGCTTATGTCCGAAAAATAAAGCAATCCTCAGAATCAAGGAAACACTACAGGAATTTATTCATCCAATTCTATAAACGATGGTTGTTCATGATAGAAAAATCCCAGTTAAGCCCACTACAGGAATGATTGTATGGTAAGTATTAATAAAGGAGCCAAACCTAAAGGATCAATGCACCAGAGATACTCTGACAAAGAATCTCCAATAAGGCCACCTTCCTCCCCAAGTATGAGGTGGTCTTTGAAATTCTTGGTGACGACTTCAAGAATGACTGATTCACTCAGCTTATCTGTGCTGAACAGAAGGATGGAACAATAAATTCACCAAGTGAGAACACATGCATAAATTTAAGGTCCGCGTTCATACACCGGTGAAATCAACAGCATATGCAAAAATAAGAGTATACATGAGAAGCATTCTTACTCTGTCACCAAGTCTGCAACCCCTTTGTATTGGATATTACGCGGCTTATTAACAGCTTCCATCACAACCTAAAACGGATGGAAGACAAGGAAAACTGGCTGAGAATTTATTCATCAAAACTGGAACGAGGAGGATGCGAGGAACTTGCACAAGGGCATGGAATGGAAGTACTCAAGTACCACAGCCCCTCTTACGAAAATGAGGAACTGGGCACTTCAAATGTGATGAGTTATGCAACCCATAAAGCGTCGTGCTATACCCCATATGTTTATCCTCTCCTGGTTAGCAGAACTATTTGTCAAATTTATCCCCGGAAACAAATTAAACCAGTAGTTGGCAGCACATTAACCAGCACGGCAGCACCTGCCAATTCAACTACACGACTAGCATTTCTTTCTTTGAAACTAAGTGGCAGCGCAATCGTCGCTATAATGGGAGCAAGCAATTCAATCTACGGATCGTACCACGGGCAGAAGCCGCAGAACCTGCAATCGTCTAGCGGAGTCAACCCCACCACACCAAGGGGGCGCCGACGAGAAAAGGGGAAATCGCAAACGCACCTCGGCGCCTGCCTTGGCGGCGGCCTTGATGACGCCGAGCAGCTCGTCGGCGGGAACCGGGCCGGTGGTGGGAGCGGCCATCTTCGGGTACTTGCTGGGTGCGGCGGGCTGGTCCGACGCCACCGCCATGAGAGATCGCGCGTGCTTGGACCTGGAGGCGAGCGCGCGGAGGGCGAGGATCGGCGCCGGCGAGGCCCTGGCATTCCTCGGGAGCGAGGAGGCGGCGGTGGTGGAGGAGGAAGGGAGAAGATACCGTGCCATTGGTGCTGAGAGAAAGGGTTTGATGCCTTCCTGTTGTTTTCCTCCCGCTGCGCTTCGATTTTTTGTCGAAAGAGACCCTATGCCCATTGGAATTGCCAAAAGAGACCCCCTGCGGACGAAATTAACAAAAGAGACCCCCTCATTAGTGGCGGCATGCGCGGCAGGCGACACGTGTCACCTGCCGCCACGCCATGAGGCGGCGGGCCCTGCCGCCACCGCAGGAGGCGGCCGCGCGGGGCACAACGGCCTTCGTACAGTGCAGCGTGCCGCGACGGAACGGGCCGCGCCAGGTGGGCCCGGCCGCCACCGGGTGAGGCGGCAGCCGCTGCCGCTGTCCCTCCCCGGCCGACACGGCCTGCTGCGCGCAGGCCCAACAGGTGGGCCACGCCGCCACCAGCCGAGGCGGCATGTGTTGTGCTGCTGCACGCGCAACAGTGCGCAAACGACGCTGATTCCGAGGCGCGACAGCGACACTGATGGCGGTGACTCCGACGCGCGGGAATATGGACGCTTTTGGTTCTTTCGCCCGGGAATCAGTCCTGCCTTTGCTTCTTTTGCCTCAGCGGATGCGATGGCACTGGGAATCCGATGCTGCGGGAAGCTATTGTGCCGACACTACAGGGATCCTAAATATCCCCGCTTAATTTTCTCGCCATCATTTATCGTCTGAGCTTATAAAAGGAGACACCGAGGCTCTCGTCCAGCCATCCTCGAAATCGGCACTGCGCAAAGTGTGTAACACATATTTTCAGTCGGTATGAGTTTGCCTTGCTCGGATCAAAGCATTAGGCCGAGGAAAATGAAGAATGCAAGTTTGCCTCCGGGGGTGGCAGTCCTGCGGTGTTGGTGTGGCGATCTTTGCAAGGTGAAGGAGGTTACGGATTTTTCAGATTGGTTGGGCATGAAGTTTTTCATGTGCATCAATTATGAGGAAGATCCACCCATAACTATTTCAGAGTACGACAAGCCTCCGGTATGCTTTAACCATCATAAATAGATATTGTTGGTATTTTGATAGATTCTTTAATAACATCCTGGTTTCTTGTTGTAGTCTCCTCCGCCTATGTGCATGTACTATCGTTGGATTGACACGGAGATGCCGGCTTGGGCAATGACTGAGATTCGTGAAAGAAGTCGCCGTGCGTGGAATAGTTTCTATGCGGAAGAGCGACGCGAGAAGGCGGAAGCTGAGGAGAAAGCAGAGCAAGAGAGAGAGTTAAAAGAATACTATGTGGAGCAACACCGGTTTTTTCAGGATTTAGGAAAGAAAAACAGGGAAGAGGCTCGTCGCATGGAGGAGCCGGAACGACAGCGAAAGGAGGCTCGTGAGGCGGAGAGGCAGAGAAAGAAAGAACGGGCTCGTCAGGCCAAGACAGCAGAAGAAGCTCGCGATGGAAAAGGAAAATATCCACGTTGGACTCAGTAGATTCCTATGGTAGTATTTTAAATTTCGCAATTATTTGTATCTTTATTTCTGCAGTTTAATATAGCTTTATTTCAGTAGTTAAATGTAGCTTTATTTAAATTCTATGATGTATCTTATTTTCAGTTGTACCTTGTCATGTTGTATCTTATTTTCAGTTGTACCTTGTCGTGATGGAAAAAAATATAGTTTTAGAATAAAGTAGTGGCATTTTCTTTCCCTCCACTAATTATCGAACATCGTGCAACAACTACAAAGTGAAATTAAGATAGAACATAATGCCTTACAATAAGAGAGTACAAACTAATAATGCAAGTACATCTGAATTAAATGGTACAACTGGAATACAACTTAAAAACTACATGAAGTCATCATCGTCATCCTCCGTCGATGCAGAAATCTTGCTCTTCGAGGATGCAGAACTCTTACCCTTGGACGATGAAGAACTGTTGCCCTTCGAGGATGCAGTACTCTTGCCCTTGGACGATGCAGAACTCTTGCCCTTTGACGATGCAGAACCCGGAAGCGGCGGCATGAAGATATCATCTTTGTCCTCGCTCTCCTCGGTCCATAAAAATGGATGCTTTTCTGCGGTCCTTCTAAAAGTTTCACTCTTCGGCTCCACTACCTTCTTCCACCTTGCATTCAACCTAAGAAGTTCTTTGCGTACCTCCTCATAGGTCCTTTCAGGCCACCCAGACCTACGTAATTGGTGATCCAACTCATTCATTATGGTGTCACTACCGGTGAGTTCGTCCCATGGAACTATCCTATTGTCCATCCTGAAATCGGTAGCTAGCCTCAGAAGAGTGCTGCTCATCCCAGGGTGAAAACTACGATCGAAAGGATAATGGGACATCTCGCCTACACTACACTCGAATGCTTATCAACCTCCGTCTGAAGGGGGGTTTATAGGTAGAGAGGAGAAAATGGCGGGAAAGAATGACTGCGGTATTGGCGGGAAAGGGTTGGCGGGAACATATGGCGGGAAGGGGTTGGCGGGAAACGGGTGGCAGGAAGATATGGCGGGAAGGGGTTGGCGGGAAACGGGTGGCGGGAACATATGGAGGGAAAGCATTGACGGGAAAATATTGAGGGGAAAGCGTTGCCTGATAATATATTTTTTTAATGTCTAAGATGGGCAATGGTTGCACAGTATTCATCAGCCAAAATTAAAAAAAATCATTTCGGCCTAACATAAGCAAAAGAGTGGAGCGGGATAGTATGGCGGGAGATATAGGCGGGAAAAATTGTTCCTGACTGGTGCATTTTTATTTCAGCATACATAGATGTTCAAATCGAAAAGTCTGATACAGACATATGTAGATACAATGGGTCGCGCATGTGGATAGATGAATCACCCTACTTTACGACGACCACCTGGCCTTTCCTTACGACCGGAAGGCGACAAGCGATTAGGTGGCCGAGTTACACGAAGACCGCGACCGTACTCCAATTCGGCTTCATGTGTCTGCGAGTCCTGCGTAGGTGGTGGAGTCGCGAATCCTTGTTGCGAACCTGAAGCGTAATTGTAAGCGTATGGTTGTGACTCCGCGGGGATAAAAGATGGGCCAATAACGTCCCCTCCGAAGAACTCTGTAACTAATGATGTAACTGTGTCGCCGTGATCATGTGATGCTCCCCGGAGGCCTGTGTTGACGCCATGATCATGTGATGCTCCCCGGAGGCCTGTGTTGACGCCACGTTGGGTGTTCTCATCGCCCCAATTAACATCAGGTATGTCCTGCACATAGAAACATTGTAAACAAACTGTTAGAGGATAATATATGATATCATTGTGAATGCATTGAAATGTAAACATACCTACCTAATCAGATCCCTCTCCTATATTGTCTGGCCATTGTACGTGGTGCTGGTTTAAATCTGGTACACGAGTCTCCTCAGGCATGGAGATCCCTCACATGGAGAGATACAGCTGAGATCCCTCACCTTGGGTGTATGCATCATATCCTGTGTATGCATATGGGTTAGGGGAAAGAAACTGCTCGGGCATCAAATCCAAGCCCGTGCCATGGTCCTGAGATGTCTGCCCCCTGACGAAGCTGCATCGAAGAAGAGCGATGCAGGGGCAGAGATGAGTCATGTCATGGCAATGTCATTCTAGTACTCGGACCCTCCCCGCACTGCCCATGGCTCGTACGCGCCTCGCTCGGTCTGGACGACGGCGCTGCATTCGGTCTGGCTGACCTCGCTACCGGCATGTTGTATGCTCCAGTGACAACGTCGTCGCCTCTACCGCATCTGAACTTCTTTGCCACGTATTGTTGAAAACGTTTCTGGAATGTCTTGCGAGATGGGCCCTGGGCCGGCATGCTATCCATAGCCATCTGCCCTACTTCGTTGCAATTTTGAAGCTGAACAATATTTGGATGTTATTTAGTTCAAATGATTATGAAATGATGGACCTAAAAAAGTTACAAGTGATTACCATCTGGTCACGATAGTAAGCTGCATGCAGCTCAACATGTCTCCGCGCCTGCTCCTCTTGTGTGAGATGTGTTGGTATAGTAGCTGGCTGACTGGCCAGGCTAGCACGTGTGTTCATGCAGTACCACTGCTTATACGCTTGATCTGTACTTCCATCGTATGGTCTGCAAAATTAAATAATTACATAAACCATTGTGATGAAAGCAAAGCATCTTCACGCATCATATGATCATCGTAATAAAATAATGTACATAAAATAATGTAAATAAAATATATCTAAGTTGATGCACTATATCTGCTAGCGCTTCATTTTCCCACTTGTGTACCCATTCAATGTTCTCTTCCCTCCAATCGTATAAACTCCAACCCCTGCCCATATTGGTTAGCCTGCAAATTATGTAACAAAGTGTGAGTTTAGTAAATTAAAAATGACACTAACTATTTAGGGATATCACATCTTACTTATGTGTTTCCTCATCGATACGTCTGGGAAAAGGTGGTGGAATTTCTTGATAGAGACTGAACTGTCTCATTACACGCTCTGGGTTGTAAGGCTCAACACACCAGAGGAACAATAAGTTGCAACGAGTCAGCTAGAATGCACTATCGGTCAACATGCCTGGTGTGAAGTGTCGAGCATCAAAGACCATTTGTAGCTGGTCCTGAGTCCACGGGTTCCATGTGACTTCTGCCTCATCAAGTATCTCAAACTGCTGGTGGTACATAGGGTAACAATTTTTCGCAATATCTGGAGACCAACGTTTCCGTGCCTTTGTCCACCTGGTGGCCATAGTTGCGCTGGCACCCTCGCTAAAGTCGTATGGGTATACGGGTTGTACTATACGAGGTCGTTCTACAAGGAGGTATTCTCAGGACCACAACTGTAGAAACTCATAGGCGACACAAAGTAATGAAACTTTTTGTGCGAAAGAGGTTTTTGCGTGGCATCACACAAGCCTCTGTATGTATGAGATAGCATGGCAGAACCGAAGCTGTATTTTGGCTGCTCGGGTAAAGGTTTATCTACCATATTCTCTGCAATGTAGATGAGACCAGGGACAACAACGTCCTCATGTGAATTTGGAAATAGATTCCCTAGGAGCCACAACAAATACGCAAACAGATGTCT